AGCAATATTAGTGTGTGTGTGCGTGTGTGATGAATGATTGGTCTTAGTTTGCTCTGTTGAAATTTATTCTCACTGTTTTATTGCTCAGATTAATTTCGCTACTGTTATAACATAATAAATTTTGTAGAGAATTCACGGTTTATTTTCATGGAGGAAAGAAAGAAAGAGAAGATTGTGCACATAGCGGCGTTGCCTTCTAGTCCATATTTTGTCGTGTTCTCTGAGTTGTCATAGTCGATATCTTCATGATTGGCTTGAAGACGTGAGAGAGTAAAACTGTTAGGCACACTTGGCCACTGATAACTCTGGATAGACAGACAGTGGAACTGGTTTATATCGAGGGAGAAAAAAAGCATAGAAAAAAGTGAAGGAACGCTTACTCTTTTGGTTGTACAAAAAAAATTGTCAAGTGGTAATAATAATGATAATATGATAGGCTTTGAATTTCTTGACTCAGTCGCCTAAGGTAACATAGAATTGTACTGCTGAAGAAACGGTTAAAACAAGATGAATTAGTTGTGTTCTAGTGCAAATATCATCCACCTGAGGTAAAAAATCTTCTCCAATACCATACAATTTAATTGGTCTAAAACTAGCAAAAGAAACTATGCAATAACTACTCCACGGCGATGAAAACGCAAAAAATCAATATTTAACCTGGATGAAACATACTTCCAGTTCAATCACCAAATGTACGAAGAAATAAAAGGGAACATCAATAGGATTGCTCATATGAAGATTAATAGCTTATGCCGTTATACAAAGCTTAGAATTAATAATAGCCGTCCGGAAATATCTGGGTATGTTATATTGTTGATGCATTCGTGCGTCGGTGGCCGACCATGCACATGGTCCGGGGTTCGATTCCCTGCCGACGCACACCTGATATCAATTGGTCGGCTTTCCAAATTTTTTGGCTACCGATATCACATGTTAAAAATTTCATACTTGTACCAAAACTACAGTGTAGAATCAAGCTATAATAAAACAAGAATATTAAAAGAAATGTGATTTGGAATGTACCTACAAAATAAATAAACAAGATATTTGAAGACACAAAGTTCACCACGAGAGAAGAAGAATTAGACAATAAAACTCCATTCTTAGAAAGTCTTAATCAAGAGAACTAACAAAAGAAATTTAGAAAAACAAGTATACAGAAAATCAACGCACGCAGACCAAATACTCAACTATAGTAGTAATAACTCAATTACCCACAAAGGAAACTGCATGCAGACATTGTTTAAAAGAATTCAAACACACTGTAGCACTCCAGCGTTGAAAAGACTGGAGGAAAAATACCTACTGACTGTCTTCAAAAAGAATGAATACCGGCATAATTTATTCGTTATCATAATTATGTAGAATCAAACAAGAATTGTCTCCATGTAAAATTATATATTTAAATGCGATTGTACAGCTTTTGAAAATGAAATCGCCGAAAAGATATCTTTGCTGAACCTCTTATTCTTCTCCATCAAAAAGTGTTTAAAATCGAGTCACAACACCAACAAGAAACCATTATCAAAGACCACAAGAAAATTCACTCTACCATACATAAAAAATAACTCTGAAGTAAGCGCTAGACTATTAAGACCATTTGAAATAGATATAGCACACAAGCCAGCCAGCCAACACAATCACTTCATTCAATATTGTGCAGACAGAAACAACCACCCAGTCAAAGTGGGCGTTCCCTTCATGTCCTTCCTAATCGAAGAGGATAAATCAGCGCGTGAAAATGCACGATATGTATCCCTTTTTCATATTGGTGCATGTAGATAATTATGGACACATGAATTTGATTTAGATAATGTAGAAATTGTAAATAGAGGAAACACCGAAAGTACTGCCACCAAGGAATTGCTAGAAGCCTTGCATGAATCAGCGATCAACAGACACATTACTATACATCACATTTACGAACTAACAAAAAGTAAATCACATGACAAGAAAGCTTAAATTACAAGTCAATAGAAAATGATCAATGTCAATTGACAATGAATCACGACAATGGTTATCAAGTGATATAATTATATCATCAATCATGGCGAGAATTCAAATAATTTCATTTCAGGACTTCATCATGAGCTGACACTGGTTACCATTGGAAAACCTGGGAGTACTGGGCAGCTGTCTCTTCCTAGTACTTGGGACTCTTTATCAGTACGCAGCCACCTCCAGCGGGGTTGGAACTCAAGACCTTCTGGACCCAATCCAATGGACAGCCCATGAATTCTAACTTCTGCCAATTCACGACATAGCGCGACCACTAGCCAATGTCTTCGGTGGCGAGTATTTGTCCTCACACCCGACCTGCTGCACCCTACTGGTCACGACTTCTCACTAGAACCTCAGGTAACTATCTACCTGAATAGGGCATTTCATACTAAAACCTATGCTGAAGGGATGTTGTCTAGAAGGTGGACAACGAAAGCTGTGCAGTTAAATCAACCAGTTCCTTAGAGAACACAACTAGATCAAAATATCCATCTCATGGATATATCACTTAATCCATAAATCTCCTCTCCATTGTTTCATTTCAATATAAGTCTAGAATGTGAAACAAGTGATATGCAAAAATAAAGGCATATCGATCGATTATCTTATTGACAACAATCCCATTATTTTCATTGATTGGTCTTTCTGAATTTATATCCCTAATTCTGATGGATGGATGGATTTTTTTGTATCGCCTGTGTGAAATTTTGAAATTTTCGCCAATCGTCAATTTTTTTTCCTATCGATTAACAGACATGTTAAAATTATAATAATAGTAATAATAAAAATAGTAAAATGGGATACAACTTTTTCATCAAAATATGAGTTTGCTATGTGTGTCTGTTAACACGTGTATCATTTTCAATTCCTCTAAATCAATGGATGATAGAGATGGCTTTCTACTCATCGTTATGTGTTCATCAAAATAAATAAGCGCTTGGATTAGATCATATAAGCAATAGAACCTAGTCGTATTTATGGCAATCGACTACCAACCACGACAACATATCGTTAACGAGATAATCAGGGGCTTTTATTCTTTGTGCTAAGTTAGAGACCCAGTAATATGAAAGGTTTCGATTCTCTCTATGGATTGTTTAAAGATAATTTACGTAACAGATCTATATTAGAAAGAAAGAGAAGTAGACATGGTCATTGAAAAGCAAGAAGCATTGGACATTGATTTGATCTTTGTTTTTGAGGTTCATCAACAGTGCGAACCCGTAATCCCCCATGCTGGACAGAACAGAGCCGTGGATCATTTACTGAATTTCCTCTTTCATTGTTATCGATCCATTATGAAGACTGTCTTCGGTTTTTATCACTATTATTATTATTGAAACAAAAACTTGATGCATTATTGGCACCAAGAGATGTGCCACACAAAACCGCATAGTTTGTGCGCGTGAGGGCTGCTATTCTTCCCGGACACTCAGACCGAATCAGGTGGTTGCCTTAAACAACTCTCCCTCCGAGCCTTTGATATGAGGTCTGATTTACAAGGTAGTTGACCAGCGTCAGGAGATGCGTTACTATGGTTGATGGTGACCAAAGCAGGTTCATACGTCATTCGGTCCGTTCGGATTCTGGAGTCCGTGTACACCATAGGTTTGAAATCAGTGTGTTTTAGCCCCCCCCCCCGCGCTTAGGTGTAGACCAGCATGTCTATCAGTCCGTTTGTAAACGCCAGACATTCGTATTCATCCTTTGACTTTTGTGAGGAACATTCTCCGCCACTTGAAGATAATGATGAAAAGGACTTTCCTAGCACAGCGAGACGCTATGAAGAACGCGTGGCCACACATGAGAGCATTTCGAGAGAAAAATACTGAATTCTACCCACTCTTGGAGCTGTAGAAACAGGTGTTTTACACTACTGATTGCTTATTGGAATTTACACAAATTTGAATTTTACTATTCTGAACAGCTTATCATAAACTGTTCTTGTTTTAACTTACTGTTTATCTTTGAAAATTGAAATATTTTTCTGCAACTGTGTTTGATAATGAACTCGACAGACAAAAAAACCTCTACTTGCTATTCTACTCTGAACAGTTCGTTTTTGACCCTGAGATGAACCTGTCTATCTATCAATCTATATATCTGTGAGTCGGTAGCATAGCGGTTAGGACGCTCACCGACCATGCACATGGTCCGGGGTTCGATCCCCGGCCGACGCACTCCTTTACCTCGCTAAGCCAGAAATAATGCTGGTGAAGAGGAAAGGTTGGACATGAGGCCAACAACCCCATCCTGTGAAAATAAGCACTGCTACAGGAACTTCAAGCCTCTAGCTTGAAGCTCTATGTTCCACTGGGGAACGTGAAGGAAAAAAAATATTCTGGACAGTGTTTCTATTATTTACAGAATTTTGCAAAGGAGTTTAATGCGTGATATTTGTCCTTCGTACAATATTTTCAAATAAAATATTTTAATTAACAGTATTTCCTATGACACAATAGTCTCTGAGCGTGCTGAAGCACAAACCTTCTTCAAGAAATCCACCATATCGATCTATCTAGTTGAAAACCCAGTTTTTGTAAGATGTTCAGAAGTACATTTTGAGACTGAAGGACAAAACTGAAAAAAAACACAATTATCTCATGTATTGGAATATATTGCCACCCACAATCAGGCCTTTCCTCAAGTTTAGTAGGTACCATTGGAGTGTATTGGACTCACCAGTATAAGTAGACAATAGCATCCATATTATTCAAGATTCCTAGAATTTGAAATACATTTTCAAGGTCACATCTTGATAAAATCAATCACATACAGTACAAATTGGAAAAAACTAAACAACACCAAAAGTTACTTACTTACTTGTCAATTGTTACATTCGGTTAGGTTGTGCTTATTTGAATTCTTAGATTTGTTATTAAATCTATTCATATATTTATAATAATAATAATAGTCCATGTGTGTTGTAATGCATACACATCTGTATCTGTGTGCATCTTTTAAATTGATTATTTTGTTGTTATTACATTTTCTAACAGCTTCATTGGATGGTTACGAAGGTAGTATACACTTGTTTGTTCGATTATGATATTGATTTTCTCACCTTTTTTGTTTTTTTATGGCTTCACTACTTCACTTTGTGTGTGTGTGCACTTTCGTTTTGTTTATTAACGCTTTTGATTATTAAATTGAGGTGAAGGTGGCGTTTATAGCTTTTACCACTTTTTTTGGTTTTATCACAGTTTCCTTTTGTTTATGTGTGTGTTTGTGTGTGAGTGCGTGCGTGTTAGCCATTTGTTTTTCCGGGATCCTGCATTTTTTGTTTGTTTGTTTGTTTGTTCATTGATTATTAGTTGAAGTTGAAGTGTTTTGTGTGTATTAGAGTGACAAATGGTTGATGTATGTGAAGTTCACATAAAGACGGTAACCAACTTAGCTGTCTGTCTAACTTTAAGTGACCTTTTAGCTAGGTTGCGTCGTGCTTACTGACAGTCATCAACAAGACGTATCCTACCTTCGACCAACTAACATATATTCAGTTCAATTTTAAAGTCTCTTAGATATTTAATTGAATTTTAGATTTTCCCCGTCGATTCACTGGACCGAAGTGCTCGGTCTCAAGTTGACATGTCGGCCTTCTTGTGCAGATGCTTCGACGATGTCTTGGGCGTGTGACTAAAATTTAATTCGTGGATGGTGACTAGCAGTGGAATCCAGGACAACACGGATTTCGTCCCACTTGGGACTCGTCAGCTTGATGTCTCAGATAGATCATCTGACTACTTGACTGACTGAATCCAGTCAACACATCACTATGACACTGCTTACTACTCCCCTCAGTAAAGAATCAATGAAATGACGTACTGTTCTACACTATGGTGCAGTATGTTGTGATGTTGGATGTTGCATGAGGAAGAAGCCATTTGTTGATGGTAGGAAACCTTCGGCTTTGTCTGTATAGTTTGCATTTGTTCTCAACTTTGTTTCAATATATATAAATATAATTATATATATATATATATATATATATATGTGAATCTTTTACCTTCGTCCATGAGAATCATTCAGCAGTGAGAATTAATCAACGTATGATTTGTAATTGCTGTGTGACGGATATACACGAATTTGGACTTTACTGCATATAACATTTATTATGTAAAAGAGGTTCAAAGAAGGGGGGGAGTATATTCTGGGTTTGTTCGATTCTGTTAAGTAAATATGCGCATATAATACATTCCTATCTGTTTCAAGTTAGACCACGGATCAATATCAGTTAGAGAACCATTGAAAACCACCAGAAGGTACTGAACAGCTGTTTCGTCCTTGCTTGGGAGTCTTCAGCAATGCGCCCACCGGGTTTCGAACCAAGGACCTTCCGGTTACAAGGCTTGCTAGGAACTGGCTACCTGGCGAAGTTGCCCGGAGTTCTAGTGAGAAGTCATAAGCAATGGGGTCCATCCAGTCGGGAGTGAGGATGAAGTTCCCGCTGATGATATTGGTTGGTGGTTGCTTTAAAATTCACGAATGGGTAAAAGTCAGAATTCATGAGCCGTTGGATAAGGGGCCCAGTGGCTGAATGGTATACGAGCTTGCCTTATCATCAGAAGATTCTGGGTTCGAACAAACTTGGATGAAACAGCTGTCCAGTACTCCCTGCTGGTTTTCAATGGTTCTCTAACTGATATCAATCCATGGTTCAAACCTGAGACAAATAGAATCCCTACAAAAAAAAAAAAAAACAATTCTTGAACATTCCTATCTGTTTGTCCGAGTGTTGAGCCGAGGTCTCCTGTTGAAATTAATTACTTTTAATGTTTATGTGTAGTCCCCGAACTATCTATAATATAAATGTATGTATGTAGCAATTTATGTAACTATCTATGGTCATATAATATATATATATATATATATATATATCAGAGTGTTGGTCTGTTTACCGTGCACTTACCTACCTTCACAAATGCATTTATTGCTTACTTTCACATTTGTTGTGGACTTATGAACTCTATATATTTGCACTATTATAATATTTTCTTTCTCTCGCTTTGATGTGAATACACCTGCGCACACATAGTTTTTGTATGTATATATATATAAGTGTTCACAGTATTTTAGACTCTTACACTTATTATGCTTAATATATTTGTCATACAAGACGACACTGGAATCGATGTTGTTCTTGATTTGATGATGGTGTTGGTGGTGGTTATTATTCTCCTGTGTGTGCACCTGTTGACTAGCTTAGTTTATTATATTATTCGTTTCAAAAGTATATTTGAGAGAGAGAGAAAAAAAGGAGACGGAAGAAGGCTGGATGTGATGCACAGTTTAACATTTTCTGGCTATATTGATTTTTTGTCTTCTTTTTTTGTGTGTGTGGCTTAACCGTAATATATATACGTAATTATTATATTTTATGGCGAAAAGTAGCTATTCATTTTTGTTTATTTATTTCAGTATGCTTCTTTTCTCTTCATCCTTATAGAGCTAAATAAGCGTGTATATTCCTTAAGCATTTAAAAAAGAAATCGACATATCGATTTATTAGACTGTTTATTTTGCAATCAATATACCCACGTGCATATATATATATATGACTTTTGTAATAAAAGATTCGCCACACCTGATTGGTTGGTTTAGATGTAGGCAATTAATCATATGTATTTTCAGTTTCGCATATTTTCATTTGACCATTGTAATGCATAAGTGGTTTTTTATACTCACTTATCAGTGAGTTAATAAAGATTGAGTTCTACGGTATATGATTACTGCTTATCATTTAAATATAAAATAATGCCTTAAAATAGCAGCTGTCAGAAGATATCAATATTCTTGTTCGTGTGTTTCAGTATTTTTGTCACGATTATCATGAACTTTTGATTTTTATGCATCACAATATATTCAGGTGTTTGCATATTTTCGTGTTGTTGAATTGTCGGATTGATATGAAATAGAGGGAACTATTGGAAACCAGTATTAGAGTAGTGGACAGCCAGCTGTGTCATCCTAGTTTAGGGACTTATTGGTAGTAGGAACCAATCGTTAGGTTCCAACCCATGACCTTTCGGTTACAAGACAAACTTGTAGACCGTTCATTATTTTAACTATTGATAAAGACAGTTTTGTTGTAGGAACCACTTTTCTGTAAAACATGTCTTCCATCGTAGGTGTCTGCGTTCTGTCTTCCGTTTAAGGTGGTGGTATACTAGGGTGAGGTTAGGCGTCAAGTGCTAGATAAGGAGGAGAAATCAATCGACTAGGTTGTGAAGCAGCTGCATCAATTCAGTGAGATGGTTAGGACATGTGTTACGCATGCATACCTAGCCATCGATCACCTTCCTCAACGACGGGCAATGACATAGGATGGATCAGGCTGGAAAAGAACTGCTAGTGGTTGGTGGTCAAACGAATAGATGGCTTCATCAGTCAATGAAATCCATGAGAGTTAGTTTGAACCAGCCAGCCACGTAGGGAGATGTACATTGACCGGCTGGCTGGCTAGTTAGGGTCCTTGGGATGGTAAGAACCAATATTAGTTGTAGAGACAATCAGTGATATGGCTGAAAGTCGTCCTTCTCGATGTTGGTGAAGATGCATTCATCACTCTTTGTGAGTGATTCGTCATATCCAATAAAGTCTATTGTTTTTCCATATTACTCCAATTCTTCTCCCTCATTCACACTTCTGTCTATTATCTCTGTTTTGAATCTGTATTTAGTCTGTTCTCTTGGTTTGTGTGGTACAGTGAGGGAGTGTGTCGAGTTGATCTGGTGTACATCTGTGCACACTAGTTCTATGTTGGAACCAGTTAGTCAGTGAAACATGGTATCTGTTAAGTGAAAAGAGTACTTTCAATTAGTATTTTTTTCGGGGGGGGGGGGTCGATAAAGTTTCCGACAATATTCTAATCCTCACTATGATCGGGACGTTTTACTCTGAAACACTAACTAACACCTATAAAAATATAGGCTTCTTTTTTATGCTTCAAGCACTATTAATCTTATTAGATTTCGCCACTGCCACCGTTCACAGGATGAATCTTCATGACATATTCAAGTTTGTTCCCAGTGGCACAAATGTAATCGATCTTTGTCATGCATGTTATTGATTTCAAAAGCTCTTGCCAGTCTTCAGTTATTTGTCATTTTCATAATATTCACGTTTGTCTATTGTGTTATGACTCTTTCTTTTATCGTATTCTATTTTTGATATGGCACTCTTTTGAACTAATAGCAGTAGTTTATTGTTCAGTGTTCCTTATCGATTCATCAGTTAGTAATTACGTCTTAGGTTTTTGAAAATTTTAAAAAATATCAATAATAATAATAAGGGCGACATGAGTGACAAGCATGAACAAAATGATGACAATAGCAACAATAGGGATTTTAAAACAGCATCTATACAAAGAGGGATCCTTTGAAACTGTGAATAGAATTATTTAATTCAAATTTAGCTTTTCCCGTCGATTGATTGGACCGAAGTGTTCAGTCTCAGGTTGACATGTCGACTTCTTATGCAGATGCTTCAACGATGTCTGAGTATGTAATTAGAAGTTAATTGGTGGATGGTGACTGGATGTACCTGCAATCCGAGACCGGGCACTTCGGTCCAATCACTTGTTTGGAAAATCTAAAATTGAATTAAATAATTAATATGACCCGTTGCATAAAAGGTGGCTCTCGTGACCCAAGTGGTCCAGTAGGTAACGCTTTGGCGTTTGAAACTATGGGCACTGGGCTCGAGCCTCCATGGTGGGAACATCATCAGTAACTTCGGAATGCAGGTACATGCAGACGACGAGTCCCAAATAGGACGAGGTGCGTGTTGTCTTGGATTCCACTGATAGTCACCATCCACCAATTAACGTGAATAGAATTCTCTAATTAACAAGAAAAGAATAAAATGGCATTCAAAGCCATAAACTCATTTAAAAAAACAAAAACAAACAACATTTTGTCGGCTAATAGATACCGTAGAAGTCACTAAACAAAATAATTTAGCTTGAATAAAGCAAGAACAATAGTGGCTTGTGCAGAATAAAATCGTACCATCTTTTGTT